AACCGCCCCCCCCCCCAAAAAAAATAAAAACAAATTATTCTTTTCTAACCTGAACCAAGACATATTTATCTTTAACAGCCCCAGGGCCCCCCCATGCCCCCCCACCCCACCCCACCCGCCACCGCCTACCAGAGCACCCCAAGCAAAGAGGGTCTTATGTCTTCTCCCTAGGCAGGAGAAAATTGCCCCATTAATTGTTCCATCTAAAATTTAATGTGCACAAGCCCTGAAAAGTTTCTTCCATATCATGGTTTTTAAATCATTTCAGCCCTGTGATCCATTTAACAATAATTAAAAGTGTATGATGGCATGTTTACTGAAAAATTTGTCACTTCGCTGAGATGATAGTTTCCCCCATTTTATAACCAAAAGAGACTCCTGATTGAGAACTATACACAGTGGCTGTTGAGGTGGGACAGCAGGCAGTTACTTGCTCTGTTAGCCTGACCTGGGTGTGATCTCCAGAACCCACATAAAGGTAGAAGGAGAAAACCAGCTCTACAGAATTGTCCTCAGACCTTTACAGATGTGCCGTGACACAAACCAACATCCCCTCCCCCTCTCCCTCCCCCATCCACAATAATATTAATTAAAATAATTTTTAAGTAATTAAAAACTCTGGATCCTATGATACTAGACAGTGCCTAAGACAAAATCTGCAGGAACATGTTCATCTATCATGATTCTTCTTCTATAAAACATTCCCCACCACAGTCGTTCGGGTTTACATCTCCTTTGAACTTCAGAATGCTAGTAACTAATTAATCACTAGCAACTAATTAACCTGTCTTTCCAAAAACTTGTAAAATGTATCTAATATGTAAAAAAGTTACAAAGCCTAAAAGGTAAGCTCTAAGGAAATACATTAAAATGAATATATCAACCTGGACTTTGGAAGCCCTTGAAAGACCTGCCAAAGAGGGTGTCTTACACTTTCTCTCAGAGGTTATTATTCACAATATAACCCTGGCCAGCCTGGAACTCACTGTGGCCTCAAACTCACAGAGATGCCTGCTTCTGCCTCCTAGCATTGGGATTAAAGGGGTGCACCACTGTGCCCTGCTATTCTCCTTTTTAAAAATCATTCACTTGCTTTGTTTCATGTTTTGGTTTGTCATATATATATACTCCCTGTAGCATGAATCTTAAAAAGTCTTTATTAATAAAATCAAACCTGAGGCCAGTTATTGGGGTGAAATACTGGATGGTCAGAGAGACAGAATAAGCCACAGCTAACCTCACCTGGCCAACTTCTCAGCTGATCTTGTTTCCTCAGACTGGAAGCTTCTGTGTCCTCATATCCGAATGGCTCTCAGCTGAACTGTGCTGCTAAAAGCCTGAAAGCTTAACCAGCCAAATGCTTCTAGTTTCTGGTCCTCACGCCTTATATACCTTTCTGCTTTCTACCATCACTCCCTGGGATTAAAGTCTCGCTTTCTGGGATTAAAGGCATGAGTCACCATGCTTGGCCATTTCCAATGTGGCCTTGAACTCACAGAGATCCAGAGGGATTTCTACCTCTGGAGTGCTAGGATTAAAGGTGTGAGTGCCACCATTTTCTAGCCTTTGTATCTAGTGGCTGTTCTGTCTCTGACCCCAGATAAGTTTATTATGGTGCACAATATTTTGCGGAACACAATACCACCACAATTTCCTGTCTTAGAGTTTCTTTTGATGAAGTAAAACACCATGAGCAAAAAGCAAGTTGGAAATAAAAGGGTTTATTTGGCTTATACTTTCAGATAGCTGCCCATGATTGAAAGAAGTTAGGACAGGAACTCAAACAGGGTGAGAACCCGGAGGAAGGAGCTGATGCAGGGGCCATGGAGGGATGCTGCCTACTGGCTTGTTCCTCATGGCTTGCTCAGCCTGCTTTCTTTAGAACTCAGGACTACCAGCCCAGGGATAGAACCACCCACAATGGGTTGGGACCTCCCCCATTGATCACTCATTAAGATATGACCTTTAAATTGGATCTATTTTTCTTTTCTTTCTTTCTTTTTTGGTGGGGGGTGGTTTTGTTGTTTGTTTGTTTATTTGTTTTTCTGAGACAGGATTTCTCTGTGTAACAGTCCTGGCAGTCCTGTAAGTCTCTGTAGACCAGGCTGGCCTCGAACTCACAGAGATCTGCCTGCAGAGGAATCAGCTTACACATTACCTGTCATGTAGTATTTCTTTACTTCCTCCCCCATGTCTGTAGCCAAGATACTTAGGAGATCTTCCCTGGGCAAATCTGATCCTCTATTAACTTGGAAGGAATCCATGGCCTTTTGTTTCCCATGGAAACAAAAGCTTAACCTCTTCCCCAACATAATACATTTTTTGACTTTCATTTTAAAGTTAAGGCATTCCTAAAGTATACAGGTTGGTTTAATTCAGCAGTCCCTTCCACAATCCAATGTCTCTCAGCAGCTGTTGTCTGTTCATTAGCATTCAAAAAATTCAAAATTAACAAAGTGCCGTATAAGGTCCAAACTACTACTAACTACTACTACTACTACTACTACTACTACTACTTCTTCGTCTTCTTCTTTTTCTTCTTCTTCTTCTTCTTCTTCTTCTTCTTCTTCTTCTTCTTCTTCTTCTTCTTCTTCTTCTTCTTCTTCCTCCTCCTCCTCCTCCTCCTCCTCCTCCTCCTCCTCTTCTTTTCTCTTTAAAGACTTTACTATTATTCTTAGACTATTTTTTTTATTACTGTCTATATCCTTTTTCTTTCTTTTTTTTTTCTTAAGCCAATACACATTGTGAAACATACTATAACCTGTTTAGAGGTTCTTTTTTTTCCCATATGAATCTGCTTTATTGTGTAACTGTAACCTTTTTTGTCTGCATGAGAAAAACCTTAAACTGTCGCAGCTTATCTCATGGTGCATTGGTGGCTCAAGCTCACAGGCAGTGGCCGGGAGATGGTCTCTGTACTGCTGCTCACATGAAAGACTGTAGGACTAGGTTCCATTTTTGTGTGTTTGGGACCTTTTTCATGCTTTCTCGGGTCTTATGTGTAAATACATTTCCCCACATTGGATGCCA